TATAACTATATTAAAAATATAGTGTGGCCATACAAAAATACCTGTTTAACATACTTGTAAGAGTGTCCAAGATAATTAGAATCAACAGGATTATGGTCGCGAAAGCAATTAATTAAATTGCTGGTGTTCGGCAACCTGATGATTTGTTCGAATGCACTAGTGGTGTATCATACAGTTGTTGACTTAAGCGCTTTAGATTTTATTTCATCTAGCTCTATTTATATACATTCGAAAATTAATTGTCATAACATAATTTTAAATAGAAATCTAGATAATAAAAAAGATATAAACAATTAATTATGTACATTTGTAAAATGAAAAGGAAAAAAAGTTCAAATGTCCGTACTATCCTGCAAAATAAAATGGTGTCCGAACTTTTAAGCAGATGTCCGTACTTTACCCTCTATTGTCCGTACTTACCCGGTTTTACATAGCTCAATAAATGTGCAAATTGGTATGTTACCGCTGAAGTTTGTTTGTTTGGCATAACGGAAAAGCGCGTGTAGATTGTCGTCCAAATGAAAACAGCCAATCGTATTTAGGATATCCTTTGCATGATGTCATGGCGTGATTCACGATGCATCAATGCCGAAAAGCGTCCGTACTTTCCGGAATTAACCCTAATGTTAAACAATAATATCATTGCAGTTATTACTTTTTAAACAAAATATGTGTTGAGAATTGGTTATTGATGTATTTAAAACTGATTATTATGTATATTTACCAGAACTAATGTCTAAATTGTGTTATGTTAGATCAAGTGTATCTGGAAATGAGCTTTAACTTAAAATTTAGACATGAGCCACCACGTGTGCCAATTTCAAATGTATATTTTCATGTTTGGTTTTAAGTATTGAACACACCTGCCAAGTGATAAATTGGCACATGCTGTGGCTCATACTTTTTGGGATAAAATGTGCAAAAAAATCACCAAAATCACAGATTTTCCCCAAACCAGGGTGTCTTTATATTTGTTTGTTGTGAAATGTTCATCAAGAATCTTAATTGGCTACATATTTGCATAGGTCTAGGTTGGGTCTACATAAAAACAAACATATTTGATTTGGCTAAGCTACTTTATTTTTTCAAAATTTTAGGGTTAGTGAACCAAGCCCTTTCCAATTTTCAACTTGTGTCGCACATAACTAAAAAAGTATTTGACCTATAGTCTTGAAACCTTACAAGAATGTTGCTCAGCATGTGTAGTTGTGCACCTGGGTATTTTGGTGTGGATATTTTTATCATTTTTACCTACTATACGAAGTTTATGGAGAGCTGTCCTACTCGCCCCGGCGTTGGCTGTGGCATCCGCGTCCAGATTTCAGATTAAAGTTTTGGTGCAGTAAAATATTTTTCACTATAACTTTGTCATTTCTTAAGGTATCAACTTCAAACTTCAAATATATGTTCCTTATCATCAACCACATCTTTTGCCACAAGGTTCATAACTCTAGTGCCAATATTTTCAGATTTATCTCCCCTTGAACTTAGAATTTTCCTTAAAAAATACTATTTTTTACGGTTACTTCTTTATTTCTTAAGGGATAAACTTCATACTTTAAATATATGTTCCTTATCATCAACCACATCTTATGTGACAAGGTTCATAACTCTAACACCAATATTTTCAGATTAATCTCCCCTTGAACTTAGAATTTTCCTTAAAAAATACTATTTTTTACCGTTACTTCATTATTTCCTAAGGGATCAATTTCATACTTCAAATATATGTACCTTATCATCATCCACATCTTATGTGACAAGGTTCATAACTCTAGCACCAATATTGTAAGAATTATCTCCCCATAAACTTAGATTTCTTTACTAGAAAAATGTTATTTTTTACTATGATATTTTTAGTTTTAAAGGCATCTACCTCAAACTTCAGTACTTATTCCTTATCATCAATTTCATTTTATGTAACAATGTTCATAACTCTTGAAGCAATATTTACAGATTTATCTCTCATTGAACTTAGGATTTTCTTTACAAAATATTATAACTTCTTTACTTTTTAAGGTATCTACTTCAAACTTCAAATATATATTTCTTATCATTACACACATGTTGTGCGACAAGGTTCATAACTCTAGCGAAGGTTCATAACTCTAGCGACTCTAGTAGCGAGACTATTTCTAGAATTATTCCCCTTAATCTCGGAATTTATGTTAACAATGTTATTTTTTTCTATGAATTAAAACATAATTATACATAATTGATTTTTCTTTCATAAGTTTGTCTTCCTTACTGCAACCAGTATTTTATTAGTCGAGCTTCGCTGTCTCCTGTGACCAATTTTCAAGTTGTGTCGCACATAACTAAGAAAGTATTTGACCTATAGTCATGAAACCTTAAAGGAATGTTGCTCAGCATGTGTAGTTGTGCACCTGGGTATTTCCGTGCGGATGTTTTTAGTAATTTTAGCTCACCTGAGCATGCTCGGGGTGAGCTTTTAGGATCGATGATTGTCCGTCGTCCGTTCACATTTAGTTGTTAACACTCTAGCGGTCGCATTTTTACCTCAATCATCATCAAACTTGGTCAAGATGCTTATCTAGTTGATAGCTCGGATGAGTTCGAACATGAGTCATCTCGGATGAAAAACTAGGTCACAAGAGCTAAAAATAGAAAAACCTTGTTAACACTCTAGAGGTCACATTTTTGCCTCAATCATCATCAAACTTGGTCAGGATGTTTGTCTAGGTGATAGCTTGGATGAGTTCGAACATGGGTCATCTCGGATGAAAAAGTAGGTCACCGGAGCTAAAAATAGAAAAACCTTGTTTACACTCTAGCGGCCACATTTTTGCATCAATCATCATCAAACTTGGTCAGGATGCTTATCTAGTTGATAGCTCAGATGAGATCGAACATGGGTCATCTCGGGTGAAAAAGTAGGTCACCAGAGCTAAAAATAGAAAAACCTTGTTAACACTCTAGCGGTCACATTTTTGCCTCAATCATCATCAAACTTGGTCAAGATGCTTGTCTAGGTGATAGCTGGATGAGTTCGAACATGGGTCATCTCGGATGAAAAAGTAGGTCAACGGAGCTAAAAATAGAAAAACCTTGTTAACACTCTAGCGGTCACATTTTTGCATCAATCATCATCAAACTAGGTCAGGATGCTTATCTAGTTGATAGCTTGGATGAGTTCAAACATGGGTCATCTCGGATGAAAAAGTAGGTCACCGGAGCTAAAAATAGAAAAACCTTGTTAACACTCTAGCGGTCACATTTTTGCATCAATCATGATCAAACTTGGTCAAGATAATTGTCTAGGTGATAGCTCAGATGAGTTCAAACATGAGTCATCTCGGATGAAAAAGTAGGTCACAGGAGCTAAAAATAGAAAAACCTTGTTAACACTCTAGCGGTCACATTTTTGCATCAGTCATCATCAAACTTGGTCAAGATGCTTGTTTAGGTGAAAGCTCGGATGAGTTCGAACATGGGTCATCTCGGATGAAAAACTAGGTCACCGGAGCTAAAAATAGCAAAACCATGTTAACACTCTAGAGGTCACAATTTTGCCTCAATCATCATCAAACTTGGTCAGGATGTTTGTCTAAGTGATAGCTCGGATGAGTTTGAACATGGGTCATCTCGGATGAAAAAGTAGGTCACCGGAGCTAAAAATAGAAAAACCTTGTTAACACTCTAGCGGTCACATTTTTGCATCAATCATCATCAAACTTGATCAAGATGCTTGTCTAGGTGATAGCTCGGATGAGTTCAAACATGGGTCATCTCTGATGAAAAACTAGGTCACAGGAGCTAAAAATAGAAAAACCTTGTTAAAACTCTAGTGGTCACAATTTTGACTCAGTTGTCATCAAACTTGGTCAGGAAACTTGTCTAGGTCATTGCTGGGAATAAATCGAACATGGGTCATCTCTGATGAAAAACTAGGTCACAGGAGCTAAAAATAGAAAAATCTTGTTAACACTCTAGTGGCTACTGTTGTGATCTAAATATTCTGTTAATTGGTCTGAAAGTTTGTTTTGATGATTTCTAAGTCAAGATCGAACATGGGTCATCTTGGATGAAAAACTAGGTCACACTGCCCAAATATGCAAAAACCTTGTTAACATTCTAGTGGTCACATTTTCGACTCAATTATCATCAAACTTGGTCAGGATGCTTGTCTAGGTAATTGCTTGGATGAGTTCGAAATCACATGTGAAACTAGGTCACCGGAGCTAAAAATAGAAAAATCTTGTTAACACTCTAGTTGCTACTGTTTTGATCCAAGTATCCTGGAAATTGGTCTGAAAGTTTGTTTTGATGATTTCTAGGTAAAGTTTAAATATATGTCACCTGGGTAAAAAACTAGGTCGCACTGCTCAAATATGGATAATCCTTGTTAACACTGTAGTGGTCACATTTTTGACTCACCTGTCATGAGACTTGGTCAGAATGCTTGTCTAGGTAATTGTTTGGATGAGTTTGATAAGTCAGGTGAGCGATCTAGGGCCATCATGGCCCTCTTGTTAGAGTTATTGCTCTTGACAGTAAAAATTTATAATATTTAACTTGTGCTGCATGTAACTCAAAAAGTTTATGATTTGTAGGCCTGAAAGTTTATAAGAATGTTGGTCAGCATGTTTACTTATGCACCTTGGGGTTTTCTTGTGGCTTTATTCAGTATTTGTAGTATTTGCTCTTTACTTAATAAAAGATTTTTAGTTTTCAACTTGGGCACATGTAGCCAAAAAAAAAATTTTACCTAGAGACATAAGATTGACAAATCGGTGGAGTGTGGGGGACACATTTCTAATTTGGTCACTAGGTGAAAAGTCAGTCATAATAAACTGATCACATGACTAATTTGCTGCCAATACGGGGCATACATGTTTTTCAAACATATCTTGTTTTTATTCACCTCCCATCAAGCACTAAGAATAGTCGAGCATTCTGTCCTACCGACAGCTCTTGTTATACATTTATTCATTAAGGTTCATGATATTTTCTGAATTTTTCTCTTCTTCATTTATATTTCAGGTGGGTATTTGATTACTCAGAGGAACGTATTTTTTGATCGGGCTAGAACGTGTCAGCTTATAGCCGCCATGTTGGCTTCCAACGATGAAAGAATAAAAATAGATCTACCTCCACCTTGTATTTGCAAGGTAATGTGTCTTGATTTTAACAAATTATATTTGTACGTGTATTGGCTATTTAACACTGGTTTGAAGCTTTCAGCTCACCTGTTACAAAGTGATTTCAGGGCCATCATGGCCCTCTTGTTTCTAAATTCATAATTTCACCATTACCATGATTAAATGTTGAATTCTGCTTAAGCGGGTGCTAGGGGGTATGGAAGGTAATTTTCACTTTCCATTGCCATCTATTACCAGGCTCAATCAAACTGAGCCTACAACATTTTCAATTTTGTCTTGTTGGGCTTCTTTAGGGATTCTTTATTTCTCTATTTTTTGTGTAGAAATTGATCATAAATGCTACATTAGTGTCTATGAGTTGTTATTTTAGCTTAATATGGAAAAATTTTAGCTTAATATGGAAAAAAGTACATGTGTATAGCAGGAATGGAAAATTAATAAAAATGCTTAAATCAAAGGGCTGCAAGCTCTGATATTTTCTGATCTTTGCAATCTAAATCATACTGACTATCTGTATGTATTTTCCTGTAAAGTTTATTTTTATATACTATAATTCATCTTACGCAGCCACTGCGTTTAGATTTTTTACTATAACAGTTTAAGATTGATACATATGGAATTTTGCATGACTAGAGTTGCATCAATAAATCATTTATGTTCATTTTTTTATGACAGCCACACTTTATACTTGCATATCGTAGCTACTTCCTTAAAAAGACACTTCAAAAAAAAAAAGAAAAAAAAAGTTGCCTCAACTAGAATTTGAACCCCAGACCTGTCATACCTTAAACGAGCATGCTACCCCTGCACCACGGTGAAATAATACGTAGGTAGCCTGAATAAAAACAAATACATTGTAATTCTAAATTGAGAATTTTGTGTTTGTCATAAACCTGTTGTTTAACACTGATGAAAATAATTTAGCGAAAAATCTTCTTGCCAAAACAGTCCGACACTCGACAGTCAGATTTATTTGTGTACTACGCTCTGGAGTATTCGGTAATCGACATCCCTAAAAATTGCATTTTTAGCTCGACTTTTTTTTTTTTTTTTATGAAATTAAAAAGGTAGAGGTATTGTGATAGTCGCGGCGGCTTTGCCGTTGCCGGTGCCGTCCGCAAACTTGTACCTCACCAGGATCATAACTTTTTTAGTTCTTGGTGTATTGTCTTCATACTTGGCCACAACAACCCTTGGAACAAGACCTTTCAGTAGACCACACTAACCTTGACCTTCATCCATAAATGACCTTGACCTTCAAGGCCAAAAGTCCAAATTTTGCTTGTTCTTGCTATTATTGGCTGTAACTTTGTTATTTTTGAATGGATTGTCTTCAAACTTGATCATAATAATCTTCAAAGATATCCCTTAAAAATAACAATACAGACCTTGACCTTCACTCATAAATGACCTTGACTTTGAAGGTCAAATTATTGAAATTTTCATTTTTTTGGGCTATTATTGGCTGTAACTTTGTTATTTTTGAATGGATTGTCTTCAAACTTAAACATAATAGTCTTCAAGAATAACTTTTAAAAATAACCAGACAGACCTTGACCTTCACTCATTAATGACCTTGACTTTGAAGGTCAAATTATTGAAATTTTCATTGTTTTGAACTGGCTGTAACTTTGCTATTATTGAAGGGATCAACTTCATATTATAACAGAACATTCTTAAGGACAAGACCTTGTTGTTTATCAAACCCAAATTGACTTGGGCTCTTTAATGACCTTGACCTTGAAGGTTAAATTACTGAATTTTCTCAGATTTGTGCATTAAATGACCATTGGTGTGTGTATATATATACAAGGGCTGTTCAAAAAGTTTGTGGACTGCAGCTCTATTATTCACATGTTATCCCCCGCCGATGGAATCTGGAGGGGGATATAGTTTTGGCGTTGTCCGTCCGTTCGTCCGTCCATCCGTCCGTCCGAATTTCGTTTCCGGAGTAGTTCTCTGCAACTACTGGCTGGAATTCAACGAAACTTTATGGGAATCATCAATATCAAGAGGAGATGCGCATCTGACCGTCCGTTCGTCCGTCCGTCCGTCCGTCCTTCCGAATTTCGTTTCCGGAGTAGTTCTCTGCAACTACTGGCTGGAATTCAATGAAACTTTATGGGAATCATCAATATCAAGAGGAGATGCGCATATTGTCGGCTTGTTCTGGTCAGACCCTTTAACTCAGAGTCATTGCCCTTGATTAGTTATGTAGTATGCATATAGAGTAAAAATCCGTTTCCGCGCTACTTCTCTGCAACTACTGGCTGGAATTCAACGAAACTTTATGGGAATCATCAATACAAAGAGGAGATGCGCATATCATCGGCTTGTTATGGTCAGACATTTTAACTCAGAGTTATGGCCCTTGATTAGTTATGCAGTATGCATATGGAGTAAAAATCCGTTTCCGCGCTAATTCTCTGCAACTACTGGCTGGAATTCAACGAAACTTTATGGGAACCTTCAATACCAAGAGGAGATGCGCATGTCGTCGGCTTGTTCGGGTCAGACACTTTAACTCAGAGTTATGGCCCTTGATTAGTTATGCAATATGCATATGGAGTAAAAATCATTTCTGGAGTAGTTCTCTGCAACCACTGGCTGGAATTCAACGAAACTTTATGGGAATCATAAATATCAAGAGGAGATGCGCATATCGTCAGCTTGTTCCGGTCAGACCCTTTAACTCAGAGTTATGGCCCTTGATTAGTTATGTAGTATGCATATAGAGTAAAAATCGTTTCGGCACTACTTCTCTGCAACTACTGGCTGGAATTCAACAAAACTTTATGGGAACCTTCAATACCAAGAGGAGATGCGCATATCATCGGCTTGTTCCGGTCAGACACTTTAACTCAGAGTTATGGCCCTTGATTAGTTATGCAGTATCCATATAGAAAAATATTTGTTTCCTCGCTACTTCTCTGCTACCACCGGCTGGAATTCAATGAAACTTTATGGGATACTAAGAGGAGATGTGCATATAGTCGCCTTGTTCCAGTCAGATACTTATAACTCAGATTTATGGCCCTTGATTAGTTATGTAGTATGCATACATCTCATTGGCATTTCCAGATTTTACTATTTAACACAAAGTTATGGCTCTGTTATTTCCCTGAATATTTATCAAGTTCAAAGAATATTACTGTTTATGCCATGATTAATATATAAATAAAGCCTTATGTCTTCAGTTGTTGTGTTAATAATAACCAGTACTCGGCGGGGGATATAAATTCAATGAATTTGCTTGTTTTAATTTGTGTACACGATTTTCCAAAAGACAAATAACAGAACATGTCCTTAACATACAGTGAAAAAATCAACACGATATGTTAACAAATAACCATTCTGTGAAAATTACAAATAACAAGGGGTACTCGATCCGGCGCACAATAATGGTAAAACAAAATGACGTTCGTGACGTCGAAATTTGAATTAAAAATGTCACCAGCGTCATTGCTTCTGAAAGTACATTTTCTGAGTGTTCATTGTCTCCGGATCATATAACCATGACCGTTTTTCTGTGTGTTATGAGAAGCAAGAAAGAAAACGGTCACCTTTTCGGTCCATTTTTCGTATAAGGGCCTCGAGAGTTTGCGCTCTTTATTGCAATTTTTTAGTAATCTCGGTACTTAAGACGATGTTATCAAGTTGATTCATTTATCAATTGGTGGTTTATAATATTAATTTAAAACGACAATCGTTTGATCCTTAAACAGTATGATTCGCAACAGAAAAGAAAAATATTTTATAGACTGACAATTATTATCTGCGGTAAATCACCGATTAAAATAGCATTTATTATCAAACAAATCAGGGAAAATACATGTAATACAAATAGTAACTACATTAATTTATTTTAAATACGCATATATCCTGATGTATAAAATAAAAATATTCTTTAAATTTAATTGTTTGGTCAGAATTTAATTTGTATTGTATTGTATTGAATTAAACATGCTGGACAGCTCGCAAACCTTTCATGCCATCCTCCCGTAGAACGATTGACGTTACAAAAGTCCTGAGAATTTGCCGTTTTCTCCCTCGCCCCTATCTGTCTGTGATCATGTATTTGCCGTTTTTTAATCACTTGCGCCAGCTAAAATCGAATGACTTGCTCGCTGACTCATTTCCCTTTGTTACATTAACCACCTCATATGAAAATGAATGAGTTTCCACAGTTTGATGGTAAAACTTTCCGAAAATGCGTATTTCTTGTTTTTAAATGGGCCTTTTATTTCGCTTTTTACGCTACTGACTACTGCGCTCAAAATTTGTTCGTTCAGTCATTCAACGTCCAAATGATGTCGAATTTCAGATTTATGTCAATTAAATATTAATAGATGTTTACCCCGATTTTACCAAGTGAAATAGCCGTTCAATTTATTTCAACATTTGTTTATATTTAAACATAGTAGGGAAATTTCGACATGCGCCGATGTTGCGTTGCCATGGTTATTAAAGTGCACATAATTCGTAAAGGAAGTAAAGGTTTATGATAAAAGTAAATCTTACTTTTAGAAATATAGATACTCTTTCGATTCATATCAACTCAGGCTGTTTTCATGAACCAAGTAAAGAATGACAGCAAAAGTCCACAAACTTTTTGAACATACCTCGTATATAGATCATCATCAACAACAACAACAATTGCGTGTATCTTTTTAAAGAATTGCGTGTTTCTATTTATAGAATTGTGTCTTTCTATTTATAGAATTGCGTGTTTCTATTTATAGAATTGCGTGTTTCTATTTATAGAATTTTGTGTTTCTATTTATAGAATTGCGTGTATCTATTTATAGAATTGTGTGTTTCTATTAAAAGAAGTTTCTATTTATAGAATTGCGTGTTTCTATTTATAGAAGTTTCTATTTATAGAATTGCATGTTTCTATTTATAGAATAGTGTGTTTCTATATATAGAATTGCTGATTTCTACTTTTAGAATTGCGTGTTTCTATTTATAGAATTACATGTTTCTATTTATAGAATTGTGTCTATCTT